AATTATTTAGTGCTCATTAATGGATGTGATGTAGATGAATGTGGGTAAGTGTTACCTCTTTGGTTTTGTCTAGTTCATTCTGCAGGGCTTGTTTGGTCACTTCCACCTCTATGAGTTTCTGTCTCAGTTTTTCATTCTCCTCCTCTGTCTTTGTGCGTTTCTCTTCCACCTTCTCCAGCTCATGGTGTAGCCTCACAGACACGTCCTTCGCAACCTGCAAAAGTTGTTCGATTTCATTGAGAGTGGAACTAAAAACAGCGTTGTTTAGTTCATATAAGGATATCCAACTTGTTTTATCTGCACTTTTAATAATGTCTTACAATTTAGTTTTACTATCTTTAGGCATTTCATACCGTTTCAAAACCAAATAACTCCATATAAACACAATATATAAACCAGTAACCACGTTGAAAGTGCAACGTTTCCACCTGTGGCAGTGAAACACACATCCTTGGGATAGAAATAAACTAAACGTCCTGGAAACTGCACCCAGGAACACGCAAGGACAGTCGAGCACCCTCCCCTCCCCCCTGTACCTTCAGGTCCTGCTCCAGACTCCTGAGCAGCTCCTCATCGATCTCTCCCGTCTGGGCGTAGCGCAGCCTCTTCCTCTCCGCTTTCCTCAGACGATACTGTAGGATCCGGCAGTTCTTATTGGCTCTCTCCAGCTCACGCCTCATCTCCTGCAGCTGACAAGTGTCCTCTTCATAGAACGTGTCTCGCATCTCGTCCATCTCGGTCCTCATTTCCTCAATCTCACACTGGCGGGGGCACAGTAAAGATTATGTGTCACAATTACGAGATGGTTAAGACCGGCTGTGGCTAATCTCTGCTGTTTATGGTTTTAGAATCTGACCTTTGACTCCACAGATGGAGTAATGGGTGTTTTTGGACTTGAGCCATAGTCAACTTCAGATAAGTGCGTACATGATTAAAAAAACACACACAACTATCTGAAATCAAATTTACTTAATATGTGCTGTGACTGGATGTGTATTTTAATGTTATCACTGTGTCTTCTGTTGATATTTCCTGCCAATGTGGCACATTCAAACTTGCCAATGCCAGCTTTTCACTCCCTTGGTTGTCCCTCATTTTAACACAAGATCATCAATGTCCCTAGAAGATCAATGCCAATGTGATCAGTAACCAATTAGTCATCTGTAATCAGTGTATTTTCAGTGATGTTTTTTATGTTCTGTGATAACATGGAGGATGTTCCACAGACAAATCAATTGATATTTATTTATCTATCTTTCAGTCTAGCCACACTGCAAACACACGATTCAGTCCAGAGAGTAATGTGGCCCCAGGCTTTAAACACATGGCCTATGTGTTTAAAGCCTGCATGGATTTTATGCAGCCCTAATATGAAAAATCAAATGTCGCCTGTTTTGCTGTTGCCTACAATTCTGATGAAACATTTTATTTTAATTCACCATATTGTTAATGCTTTTAGCTCATGGCAGAGTGTCAACCCACATAAAAACGAACATGTATCAAACCTTAAGATCTTCATTTTCATCTAGCAGTCTCTCCACCTCATCTTCGAAGGCCCGGTCCTGCTGTGTCACGGACCCCGCCTCTGTCGCCTCTGCAGCCGGCTCCGGCTTTCCCAGAGCGGCCTCCTCTGCGCCAGCGTTTTGCATCTCGGTTTGCATCTTCGCACCGCTTCTTCTCAGCCTCCTCTGCAGGTGGAACTGGATCAGTTCAGCCTGTAAGCAACCCCCTCTCCACAAACCCAATCCGAGGCCCGCGCCGCAGCCCACAGACACTCGGCTTCTGTCCCCGCGGCCGCCTTCCTCTTCGGGCTTCTCCTCTTTTTCCTTCACCGAAAAGGAGGACGAGGCTCTGCCGGACAACAGCCGCCGGGGGGAGTCGCCTTTAAGGCAGGGAAGGCGTACAGTGGTGCGACGGTCCGATGCTGATGAATCTGTCGGCTGTTCCCCGGCAGCATCCGCCCTGTTTGGTGTGACTAGATCAGCTTCAGCACCATCCAGAGGAACAGCTGCACCGCCGCGGCTCTCGGGCTCCCTCTCCCTTCCGTCAGTGGGCCTCTCCCTCACCCCGGCGTTTCTGCTCCTTCCTGCAGGAAGAGGAGATCTGGACTTGCCTGTGTGTCTCGGAGCTCGCTTCGTCGCCCCTTCCTGGGCTCTAGCCGGCGAGGGAGCCCGGTGCTGCCTCCTCGCTCCTGCGCTATTGTCTGCCGATGTTGACGATGATGGAGGGTCTGCAGCGCCGCTGGTGGCAGCCTTCATTTTCTGCTCCACTAAAATAAACTCCAAACACAGGTTATCATTTCTGCTTGTTTATCACGGGTAAACATGGAAATACCTGTACAGAGGATCCAAAGTCGTTTACTTGCAAATTCCAACCCGGTTTTAACTACAGGCTTATATTGTAGCCTAACATCTAGAAAGTTTGAACTTATGCTTCCCGTGCGTGAGCCACTAGATGCCGCTTTCCTCCAGCTGTCCTCATCTCTTCATCCCGACCCACAGCCCAACTTTACCAAAAAAGTCCAAACAAATGCATTTCCATAAAGAGCTCCACATTGTGTGTGAATTCTTGCCGCAGGACACTATGGAGAGTTGCTGGCGTAGGGCACCACGGGGCACTGGCCATATGACGTGGGGGTGTCGGCTACGTCAAACCAGGAAGTGAACTGCCAATCCTCCCTTTTGTGTCTCTCTCTCTCAAATTCAAATCAGATTTATTAGCATGGCCGTGATTAACTACAGTGTTGCCAAAGCAGGTTGCACTTGGGTTTACAATGTAGGTATAACAATTTATAATGAGCAGAATTTTATATCCTAACCCTACAGTTAGGCTAATTACATTATGGATAACAGTTCTTAATGTATACAGAGAGTTAAAGGCAGTATAAGGTAATTCATTGGTGGAAATTTCATTAGAGGGGCTCTGCACCGATTTTAACATCTGTTTACTGGTCATGAGATTTACTTGACCTGTGAAAGCAGTTGTATAATGTCCTCTGTGGCCCCAACAGTGGCAAACAAACAAAAAGCCACTGTTACAAACTTGGGGAGGGTAAAGCACAATCTATGGTAAAGCATAGGAGTAAAGGAGCTACCGAGTTGCATTGTGGGAATTGTAGGATCCAGTGTGAACCACAGTTGGGATATCTTAGCCTCTCATACTTCAATTTTGACCATTCCTTTTCTTAAATATCTCTAGTAAGTCCCCCAGCGGTTGATGATGGATGGATGGATCTACCCCAAACCATTTGCCCACTAGGTAATTTCTAATAATGTTTTGCGGTAACATTCTTGTTTTTTTCTTGACAAGAGATAAATACATGCAAGATTTCATGTGTGTACATGTGTCTTAACCACTTTTGCCAGAAATCACGTTGCATGTGGCCCCTCATCTGTTTCTAATCCACAAATCTAATGTAATAATAATAACAACAATAATTCAGACCCAGCAGAGGGAGCTCCCCACACACCCGAAACAGGATCAGCACAAGCTCTGAAGGCAATCCGTCCCACACAGACAGAGAGCCAGTAAAACGCTGACTGTTTCCACTCTGTGAGGCTAGAATGAGCTCCTTAGTCATATAAGTGCTAATGAGATGAGTGAGTGACAGGTCAGGTTTGTAGAGATTTAACCCCTGCAAACTGACCCTTCACCCTCCACCAGGCTGGCCCTCTCAGAGGACTGGGTGGATCAGTCGACTGTCAGCAGCTAAAGAAATGAAAAAGGCATTGTTGTGTATTTGAAGCACATACTCAAAAGCAGGGAAAGAGTAACATGTTTGCGAACAAGCAATTTCATTTTTGCATAGAGATATATAAAATATTACATTAAAGTGCACTTATAGTTGGCCTATACTAGTTCATCTGTGTCCATACATTCCTGCAGCAGCAGGGATGCAGGTTAAAGCGACCTGTGCTAAATGCCTTTGATAGAAAAGCCTTGGCCCTTCTGCAATCCTCTTAGTCCCTGGCTTAGATCCCTCTGTGTCCCCATGGAGGACAAATACACCTCCTCTCACTCATCTCATCTAGTTTATCGTTCACATCTACACCTTTCGACCTACTTCCACCTCCATTCTGATGCCATGGGTGCAAAGCGACAGGTGGTGGTGCACAAGCATAAGTGGGAAGACTGCAAACGAGTGCATGTACAGTAGGTTGGGGGGGAGGAGGATGCAGAAAAAGTGGCTGAGCATGAAAAAAAACCCTGAGACGTATCAGGAAAAACAGGATGGGTATGATCCGAGGCTTTTGAACAACAGGAAATAGATAGTGGATGAATAATTTAATAGATGCCATTAGTGAATCCACAATGTGGGGAAAGAGCAATGGCATATAGTGTGTTTGTTAGAGGCTAATTAAGAAATGAATGGTGAATGTGACACAAAATAGGTGGATGAGTGGGAGGGGTAAAGTCCTAAAATTAACCAGGACATTAAATACACAGCATATCTTGTGTTTTCTCATATTTGGGGCGAGAACGTGCCAGTATTTTATGCTCTGCCATTTATCACTTGAAAGTACAGTGTTTCATACAATAAATTAACACTTTCCTATATGTTAACCAATGCATACAGTTTGAGAGTTACAGTAGAGACCTGATGGTCCCTCCAGATTAGCAACGGCTTCTCTTCCAGTGACCTGCTTTCCTGCGTAACACGTGGAGTGACGTGGAAGTAAGCTCTTTTGGAGCTAAAGCCAATTTACCCCAAAGATTAGGGCAGATCTGTCTGGACAGACCAAAGACACAACCTACCTCTGCCTCTCACACACACACACACACACACACCTTTCAGAGCCCTTTCCATCCTGTGGTTCTCCAGGATGGAGGAGAGAGAGAGATGAAGAAAGAAGAGGAAGGAGGAGAGAGAGAGAGGAAATAGGAAGATGGGGGATGGGAAGGCTTCGGCTCCAGATTAGGTTCTGAGTGGGTGACATCTAGATCTGATGTGTGATCTTGTGCACACACTAAAACTGACACAAAGACACACAAACAAACTCTGGGGTGCTGACATTGTCTTTATTTCAGTTATATGTGCATCCAGAAGCCGTGTCACTTTCATCTTTGATAAGACAATGAAATAACCATTAGTTTTCTTTAAAAAAAAGCTCTTTTCAGGATGAGTTTCCCTTCAGTCCTACATGGCAAAGAGACAATACTGAGCTGAACGTCTGATCTCATATTCTTGCACTTCAGCTACATTGCACAGCAAAAAGAAATAAATCATGAGGACCCACAAAAAATATTATAACAAAGATACCCACAAACTTGCATAAATACTATAAGAAACTACAGCCCCCCCCAAATTGTTTTAAACCATGTTTTTAACTCACAATGAAGACAAAGAAAATAGCACATCCTTCTGTAAATGCAGCACATCAGTTTGAGACAGCAGAGAAATGTGAAGTCCAAGACAAGTCAGACTGGTATATGGTTTAGTTGAATACAATAGATGGCAGTTTTGAGAACGTCGTATTGTGATTTTTTCGTTTGCTAACTTTGCTCAACTCTAAGTATTCGTAAACAAAAATCCCCCCCCCCCCCCCCCCTCCCAAAAACCAAGAAAAAAAACCTTTGGTATAAACTTCTGCATGTTCTTTCGTTGGTAATAGTTAAATTAATTAAAACTCTTTTAGAGCACTAGAAAATAACTTAGCACATTAAAGACTATTTAAGCTTTCAGTTAAAACATAACTGGAATCCAGAGTACAAAAGTTGGAGGTGAATTTTGGTTGATTAGTGGATGCTGCTGAGCAGTTTGTAGGTCCTTGGATATTTTGGTCCTATTGTGGTCCAAAACACAGTTGGACAGAAGAGCAGGGAGCCTACATGATCAGCATTTTGTATTCTTTGATTAAAAAAAAACTGTTATAGACACAACCAACACCCCTCTCTCCCTCTCAAATCCTGAAACCTTTACAGACACACCCACAAACACACACTGCTACCCTTTCATCTTTCCAAGTTGGTTGCAAATCACATCCTTCTACATTATTTGCAGGGAGGATGAAGCCGGTCTGGTTTGAACTTCCCTCTCCTCCCTCCTTCTCTGGCCCTTAAAATCAACTGTCCTCTTTCTGTTCATCGCCAACGCAAGCCCTCTTCTTTCTTTATTCTCTTTTCGCTCTGCCTTTCCTCTGCCTCTTCCCATTATCCTCCACTTCCTCCACTTTGCTGTGACCGTTAGTTACCATAGAGGTGCCGTTTGCAACGGGCTTGCCTCCCTTATGCGTGGAGGAAGGTTTGCCTCGGTAAGCGTGGTAGTAGAAGTTGGCAAAGAGGATGATGAAGGTGACAGCGTAGCCAATCAGAGCCCACTGCATCCAGGCGGGGAATTGACAGCCTGTGTAGAGGGAGTGGCCAGCATGGCCGATGGTCACGTGGAACTGGATCTGTTGAACACAAAATGTAGACACCAAAGTAAAATAATGAAGCAAAACCATAAACAAACGTGCAGAATGTATGTATAACAGTATGTTTTTCAAAGTCACATGCTTTGGGTTGGGGCATGGCAGCCAATACACATCTGCACTTTTAACACACACAAAATATAGGCATACAGGAATACACACCATCTGAATAATGGTGAGGTATTTCTTCCACCAGAGGTACTTCTGCATCTGAGGTCCCAAAGCTGCCAAACCATAGTAACCATACATGACGACGTGGATGGAAGAGTTGATGGTTGCACCAAAAAATGCTGTGGAAAGATTAGAGGGTTAAATTTGTATGAACTGAATGCCAGTGCTTCATGAGTCAGACGATCTAAGACCCATCCAAGACCCATCTGATGAATTTAACATCTGGACAGCATCAAAGACCCTGTTACTCACATTGTCCACCGGGGACCCATTTGATGCCAATCCACCAGAGGATGAACATGGTGCAGTGATGGTAGACGTGGAGGAAGCTGACCTGGTTGAACTTCTTCCTCAGGATGAAAAAGACTGTGTCCAGAAACTCCACTCCTTTGGAGATATAGTACCACCAGAGAGCAGATGCTATCTGAAGACATAAAACAGGGTGAATGATTGCAGCTCACAGCGGAGTATCTCAGACACTAACACCACCGTATAGGATAGCATCTTTGAAAGGTAAAGCCTGATTCCAGACATGTAGGACAGTGGAGTGAATCATTACTACTGCAGAGAGCTGTTTTTACAACTATAAATGTCAACAAAGCATATGAGAAAAGTACAAAGTACTAAAAAAAGCTTATAAGTAATATCACATTGTAGAAGGGACCGTTAGGATCATAGTACACTGAACCACTGGAGGGCATACCAAATACTCAGATATCATATTAAGAGTAATTCTATTATATCAAGTATATTACTCCCATTTGTATTGATGCTTTTTAATTATATGTGAATAAATTATGCAAACTGCCTGAAATCAATATTTAATTTGTATTCAACTGTACACATATCTTAAGATATACATATACATATCAAGTGCCAGGACTTAAGAATGAGATTAATTATTATTAATATATGTTAAGAGACTTGGTTGCCTTATATATATATATCTCAGATGTATTCACTTTCTCAAAACAACATGCCACAAAGCACTCTGCGTTGTGTTCTCTTCATTCCTCCCAGCCCGACGCGCGCTCTCTAAGATACGGCCGGATGCCATCATTAAAGGGCGTGGCCTGAAGGTGGAGATGGGGATGGAGTGTTACGGTGGTGAGACCAATTACTCCCGCCTATCTGAGTGCAGGCCACGCCCTCTTTGTCCTGATATCGCTGCAGATAGAAACTTTTATCTCTCAATCCTCCCTCTGTTTCTTTCATCCTTTAACCTGCGGCAAAACCAAATGCACTGATATACGGAAACAGTGATCTCCTTAACGTCAACAGTAGGATTACAACATCCACGCACTTGGAAGACTTCGAAAAAACACCTTGCTTTATAGGTGATTAGCAAAAGTTAATGCATTGGTTTGTCAAATTGATCCTATTTTCCCAGGGTAAGTTTGGTACTTGTGTACAGGCATATGTGAATCTCTGCGCTGTGATGTGTTAGGTGATGTGTGTGCTAGAGAGAGCTTACCCTGACTTCATTGACATCATTGGAGTAGTTGACAGGCTGACAGAGGTAGCTGTACCCGGCTGCTCTAGAGCCTAGTAGGAGCTGATGGGTAAAAAGAGGAAAGGAAGTCAGAAAGAGGCTTAGAGGAAAATGGTTGACTGAAGGATCCATTTACAAGTTATTTCAAGCAAAATAATTATTTTTTTCAACATTTCATGTTCTGCCAAAATGTTTTGAGTTTTCTATAAAACCAGAGGGTTTTTAGAAACAACTGAGAGCTTTCAGACATTTCAGGGATTGGAGATTGTTGCTGCAATAGACTCCATCTTCTGCTCTGCTCTTCAGTGTATCACAAAACACACACTATGTGCTGCAAAAGAATTAATCAGATGCACCACCACCTGCTACATGCTTAGGTCTAGTTGAGATAACATGAGAGACTAAACTTACAGTTATATTAACAACCATTTAAATAGCACATTAAAGTGGTTCTATTGTGAGTGTCTCATACATTAAGTGGTAGGTTCCTCACAGTGGGCAGTATCACTTGTATCAAAACAAGTGATATTTCAGGTGAGAGTTTAATAATGTCTTTTGACTTTTAAGCCCAATCTTTTTATAGTTTCTAAGTTATAATTTGTATTTTCTATAAAAACAGTACTCTATGATTTTATGTCTGGTAATCTTTCTGTTATTTTGTTAACAGCGTTCAGGTGTAGTGATGGAACAGTGGATAAGACACATGCCTTTGGTGTGAGAGACCTGGGTTTAATTCACCACTGTGACACATACACCAGTGTGTCCCTGAGCAAGACGCTTAACCCCTAGTTGCTCCAGAGGCCTGCAACCTTTGACATACTTAGCAATTGTAAGTCGCTTTGGATAAAGCATCAGCTAAATGAATAAATGTAATTTAATGTAACATGTCTCTGTAGCCTGCAGGGAAAGCCATTTTCAAAAAGTGGTGCCGAGTCCTCACCTCTTTGGCGATATAGAAATTGAGGACCACCATGCTGAAGTTGTAGACTATGAGGGTCTTCCTGAGTGTGTAGGGCTGGCGGTCCTGCATGTATCTAGGCCCCGCCCACAGGAAGAGCAGGTACAGGCAGCTGATGGCCAGAGTGGGGAGGGGAGATGACATCATCGGCCACTTCTCCACCCTCTTGTCTGAAGGAAAAAGGGGTTCATTTCAATGATTGGAAAACTGTGAGGTGTAATGGTGGAGCAACATAAGGACACACGGCTAACACACACACCCTCTCCCACAACCTTTATCAACCACTCGACACTAGTCTAGTACTTTCAACATACTTTTATAAATTTTTGCCCTTTTGTTGCTGTTTCCATTATTCTTATGGATAATGACAACAATTTACTTACCAGCCCCCTTGTAAAGATACAGGTACAGTGCACTGGAAGTCCCCTGTTTGACCATATTATCTGAACTACGCATTTGGAGGTGAAAACAGACTGAATGGAAAGTATATTATAACTACCTCTGGTCATTTCCTGGTTCAACTTTGACCTGAGAGAATTTGCTATGGAGTTATGCTCTCATTTTCCGATGCAATTAATAATTGTATGCTGACTTTAACATGGTCAAATTGCAAGAAGTTTATAATCTGTGTTATCTGTTCTCTTCTGTGCAATACCCCGGTGACTAAAGTCTTATCATAACCCAAAAGATTTGCCTGATAATTTGTATGACAGTGATAACAACGGACATGATTCAGTGTTGGTCGCAGTGAAGTAAGTAAAAAAAAAGTCTTACCTGCTATAGTAAGGCCCCATTTGTAAAATTCTACAGTGTCATTCACAAAATGTGTTACAACCTCCATGGCTCTGGTCTCGATTATACTGTGGCAGGCAGAGAAAGAGAAAGAAAGAGAGAGAGGGAGAAAGGCAAGACAGGCCAGGTCAGCGAGAGCCACCCAAATTAAATTACAAGCCATACGTAGCCTATCAGTTTAACTAATAGCATGAGGAGCTACATAACACCACAATATCATTTTGTGCTCTTAGTACATGTCACTCTACTAATACTCTTACTGCCACATCTCTGCCATGACTTGCCTGCAATTGCTGATGTACACATATTTATCAGGCCAAAGATAATGGCCTATTAAACTGACTTTTCAGGGTGTTGAATTCTTACCAGACAGTATGTGAGAAGTGAGAGTCTTTGAGACAGGGATTTGTATTATGCTGTGTCGTACTATATGCTAAAGTGTGGAATTATTCAGCTTATAATAAATGCATAGATAAAGTTTTTTCCATTACATTCTCTCTCCACACTGCTGAAAACATCCTAAATGGCCGCACGAAGCCTCTCTTCACTTGCCGCTATTTGAAATGGCATGGTAACATTATCTTCCACAAGAAGCTAATGCCCTTTCCATTGATTCTTATGATTGCTGATCAGTCACAACAGTTTGAGATTTGTAGGAAATAGGATGGAGGACACTGGGTAATTCCTCATTCTCTGTTCCTGACACTTTCCTCTCTCTCTCTGGCAGATAGATTTAATACTATTAAAGCGCCTCACTTACTAACAGGACAAGTCTGACATAAATAAATCAAACTAAAAGTTACTAATACTGGTACATATCACATGGAGAGAGAGAGGGAGAGGGAGATGGACACCTCATTGACTTTAATTAATCACCTTTACATAACAAACAGTTCTTATCCACCTGAGAGCTGAGAGCAGGTGTCCCTATATTAGTCTATAATTAATCCCGACGCGTCAGATCAGCTGCCCTTTAAATAATTCATTGCTCTGTAGACAGTGACTACTGGCCACCGATTAGTGTTCACTGACAGGAAAGTGCTGAGTATTTAGAGCAATATTACACATGGGTGTGAGCACTAGATAATCTGCAGGATGGACCGTTTTTTTGCAGGACTTCCCATAATAACATGCCCACCAGGGGTTCGTTCAGTTGCAGTGGGTCGAGGGGAATGAGATGGAGAGGGTTAACAGGGTTTGTGCGCACACAAAAAGACAGGGGCGCATGTGTCAGCAGGTTTCGCTCGGACCGCTCAAGAGGCTTATATTCAATTGATCTACGAGCTTACATGTAGGCCTAAGTACAAATGCCCAACGACCCAAAAGCCTGCTTGATTGTTATCTGCCTGCATGCGTGGTGGCACTCTAAAAAAAAAAAGAAAGAAAAAGAAACATTGAACGTGAAGAAAATTGGCCCACTATTAGTAACTTATAACACGGTTATTGTATTTTGCTATGCAGCCTGAAAGATATCTCACAGGATAGCGAAATTAATTTTAAAACAGGTGTAGCTCTCCCACAACCAATAAAATAATTTACACTTGTTTTATGTTAATTCAAATGTTCGTTTTTGCAGACTTAACAGGTGGGTGGGTGGAAGGCGCTGGGGGAATAAGATTAAGTTAGCTTTATTGCCAAACTATAAAAAGTGTCTCCCTTAGCCCACTTACAAATAATTAATAGGTCGTAGACAAAGGGCTGGGCTCTTTCCCAGCAAGGCTCCTTCATGAACCCCTAAAATAAGACCAACAACACGGAGTTGGCCGGTTTTTAAGGCAAATGCAGGAAAAACGTTTAGCTTGCTCAAAACCAAATTACGGCAACAAGGCACACACACGCATACATTGTCAAAAAGGATCCAGTTACTTACGTCCTCGATATTTAAGAGCGTGTAATGACATCCGGTGCAATTTGATGCCCAACTCCTCTCAGTTACTGCTTCGCTCCCGTTCTTCCTCCCCCGCTACTGCTGGTCAGTTTTTACACCGCGCCGGTTACAGTTCGACATTAAACAGCAATTTGGCAAGAAACTAGACAAGGCAAGTGAAAATCTATGACTAAGACAGGCCAATTATGCATTCAGTCCGTGCCGGCCGCTCAGCCTCATCATCTTCTCGCAATCTCCTAGACACCGAGGGAAGCCAGATGACTTTGCGCATGCGGGAACTCACTGTCGTGTATGTGTGCGCGCGCGGCAGCCGTCGGATGCTCATGGCCGTTGGATTTTTGTGACAAAGACGATTACTTTCTTCTGCTCCTCCTCGGTATTTACTACAGCTGTTTAACTAAATAACTAGTGAACCGACTAATCAAGCAACACACTGATCTACTGATTCATCAAAAGACTTAATAAAAAAACAACAACAACTAAATAAATATTTTCGAGAAGAGTGACACGTACAATGGAATTTTAAGCTAAGCATATGTTTCCCACTTCTTTTATACAGTCTATGGTTTCCACATCCTAAAAACAAATGTCCACTTCTATGTACTTTGGCCCCTGCAGGTATCTGGCGATAACACGCCCTGTTGTGTGTGCCAGGGCTTTCCCACTAGATGGTGCTGTCAAGCTACCATCTTCTGTTCACCAGACCTGGGAAGAGATGAGGTTTCTGCTAAGGAAGCCTGACTTTACAGTAAGTCAACAATGAAGTTACTTGTAACATGTAGTCTACACAAAAATCCTGCTAAGGAGCATTGTTAGTTCATAATGCAGCGTACTGTATTATTGTTTGCTGTACAGTCACCATACAAACACTGTGTGTCAAACGTGAATTACCAAACCAGTGAAATGTAGCTGTGAGTGTCTGCAGTGCTTCATGTACATTCAGGGTCTTTTGCCATCTTTGATAACCAGATTCATTTAGAAAGGATCCATTGTTCTATCCTTTTCCTGTGTCATTTATTTATGGATTTGTACTTACTTTGATTTTCCATGAGCTTTGTGACACATCCAGCTGAACTGTGCAAACCTGGTCCAAAGACCAAAGAGCTGCTAGTGTCTTCCAAAACAGTAAAGGAATACAGTGTGTGTGTATGGAGGAAACAGTTGGTCCGTGGACCATGTGTTGGTGATTCAGACGAATACACAAATCTGAGACATAAATCTATCTTTTGAATCCTGCTGAGGGCCAAAGCAAATGTGCGTGTTCCTGTGTGCATGAACCAAATAACATGGACACTACAACATCCCTCTGTACAGTACTTCATAATTTCACTCATGGAAAAATGCACCGTGTTTAAATGCTGTTAGATATCTTGCAAATGAAAGTTAGCATATGCACATTCATTGTTTAGCTGTGAATTCACAACCTATATATCAACACAATAACATCTATACTCAGCATACAATCCTTTACTACTGTGATTTGCCATATCACTGATAAATCTATGACCTAAATCTAGAAAGCATGACAGGTATTGTCCACTTAATTTGGCATAAGTGATAATGTAAAGTCAAGTAAATTCTGTATGCACACTACAAAGAATAAACAACAAGAAAAGTTGTTTCTCCTCCACACTATTCCACATTTGCCTTGATGGTTCAGTTCAAGACTGAAATTGCACTGTAATTATGGTACTCAGAGTTATTTGCTCAGGCAACACAAAACCTCTCATTTCTTAAATGGACAATCCCAAAAGCAACCTCTCCATCCCGGCCTAAAGATGAGAAGCTTGGTTTTGGAGAAAGGTTTGTGTTGGAGAAGAACATTTGTCATTCAGGCTGCTTATCGGTGCAGTGATTGTCTGTAGGCTTCATGTGTAAATACTGTAGAAGCCATGTCTACACCTGCAGCTTAAACTGCAGCTGGTATCACTTTCCCATCCTTGAGGTGGTGCGGGTTGGCGCATGTAGCAGAACTGGTCTGAAAATGACCAAACATATCTCCCATGAGTAAGATCCAAATTTGTTTTCATGAGGTAAAAAAGGAAGAGCTCCATTGGTTTTTGTCAGATTCACCTGTCTGCCTGCCTACCATTGGTCTTAATTATCTTGTACACACACACACACACACATTCATATCTGTGTGGTCCTTGTGGCAGGCAAGTTGGTTTGGCGTATTCAGAGTGTGGTAAATGCAGAATGTGAAGGAGGCACGTTGGCGGTTCTATAATCAGAAATGTCATGACTACTGGTCTGTAGTTCCACCAACCACATCAGGGCAACCTGGAAGGTTGGGTTGGCTGCAGATTGTGGGTTGAATAAATACACTTAATATTAGAATAGCCCTGAATAGTGCGGAAACAACTCTTGGCTGTGTTACACGGAGGCAGAGTTTCTTTGTAAAGTGGCATGGCTCATTTGACATCTGGAAAGTGTGTTCCGTTACAACATAAAAGACAATTAACTGCAAAGTAAAGATATGGTTATACATTAGCATTGCCTTAGTTACATGCTGTGTTGTACAAGTGAAATACTTACATTTCCTGTGAGGTCATTAGTGACGTTTTGTTATAACAGAAAATGTGGGGGGAAACTTAGAAAGGCTATCTGCAATCAGATATTCAAGTTGGAGGAAATAAAAAAGAAGACATCTCGGACCAGTGGGCCGAGATGTCTTCTTACGGCTTCCTCCCACCATCCAAAGACATGCAGACTAGGTTAATTGGTGACCCTAAATTGTCCTTAGGTGTGAGTGGTTGTTTGTCTATGTGTGGCCCTGAGATGGACTGGTGACCTGTCCATGGTGTACCCCGCCTTTCGCCCGATGTAAGCTGGGATTGGCTCCAGCCCCCCGCGACCCTGTACGCAGGATAAGCAGTTGACGATGGATGGATGGACATCTCGGACCATCTAGAACATGGTGTGTAAGATTTCAGAGTGAGAAGAGGGTCAAGATGACAGAAACAAACTATTTTACCACATCCTTGAACAATAAGAAGAGCACCAAATAACACAGAGCCAAATATACACTCTTTAAAAGTGACGTAGGACCCAAAAGAACAGATTGGCATCATTAAAAACAAGTATTTTTTGCATTATGATTGCATTTAAAATGGGTAAAGGTTAATAAGGGCTTCATGAGTTTTCAATTTTGTCATTAGGGAAGCATGTTATATTACCACAGAGCTTTGATTCACATGTTGGAAAGTACCAGTAATATTTAGAGACCTTATAAAATGGTAGTTGCAACAAAGCAGTCCAATGCTTCTCTTAATGCTTTTTTCAATGCCTGTTTGACCTGTATCTATGCTATGTGTATGTGTGTCAATGCGACTATATAGTAGAGTTTAAGTATCATGTCTTGGTGACTGAACTTCCTGTTTTCACTCTTCCTATTTGCTTCCTCTGTCTTCTTTCTTTCTTTTTTTTCTTCATTCTTGCCCTGTTTGGTATTTCTTTTATCTCACTTGACTCTTGGCCTATATATTGTGTTTTCACGACCTGTAAAGTTAGTGTCTGTTAATCTTATGCACTCTTTATCACTTTTTATGGACTTCATATTTCATTTTACATCTGGCAGTGCCATTTTGAAAGGGGTAAACATTTCACAATTTCCAACTAAGCAAATGCCAGAGCATAGCCATCTTTTTGTAGCCCCCAAAGCATCCAGCAGAGATCTATTAGCTTATGATTTATGCTGGAACACACTGTGCACAAACCACCAAAATCTCTGTTGGGGAAATTTCCTTCTGTAGGGCACATTCGCAGCCAACCACCTGGGATGAACCATTTTCCACATACCTCTGGAGCAGTGCACTGCTGTAAAAAAAGCCTTTGGGAAATACCACTTTTTCCAAAACATTCCCTTAGTAAGGGGCTAATTTATTTCACACGGGCCTGTAACTGGGATAGGTTGGACGTCAATATCTTGCTACATGATGTGTCTGTTTGCACATGCAGAAAAACTCATACTGCACTGGGAGACACATGCATACATCAACACGTTATTGTCATCATGACTGGCTGAGATCTGGGAGGATTTTTGATGGTGTGTGAGGGGAGTAGCACATATAGGAATAACTCAGTCAAGATGATTTCTCGAGTCCTGCCTCTGTTTCAGCACGTGCGGCCAGGAAATTACAGGCTTAAGGAGATTTGGCTCTTAGAGTGTGTATATATACTTACTTTTCTCAATGGTTTCTCTGTGTGTTTGTACTATAGGTGAGTATGCATGTGAACCCAAGTGTGAAGTCTCTGTCACTTTATAGCTTTGTCTGCAAAATGCACATGTATCCTAAGGCAGGACTAAATAATTGCATTTTACTATAGACTGGTATTTTACCATCAGGTTAAACACAGTGGGTTATAGCATTCTCATATGCAGAAAAGTGCAACAGTTTCCCATAAACGACTAAATTCATGCTCCTTTAATTTGTGCTCCTGCCCAAACTATAGTTTCTCCAATTTCATCTAATTGCCCTGAGTCGTTTTCTTTCACAGTTCTTGTTTAATCTGGATCAAGTCCACTCCATCAGAGTCTTTTCATATGGTTTTAATTTGAAAGGCATATGCATCAGGCTGTGATTTAACTGGCTTCATTCAGTAGCTGATCCTGCTCTGTCTATAGTGGCTCACTAGATGTGGCATTAGGTCACAGCTTGTGCCATTTTGAGGATAACTGGGCTTTTTTTACTGCTTCCCATAAAAAAGGATTTGCACACATATATATGTACTCCTGCACACACACAGTGTCTTGTCCTCATCTGACCTCTGTGTAAGGGGAACCCCTCCCCCGCTGTAGTGTGTTGCAAGAAGTGCGCAAGGCCCACATGTATAAAGTACCTCAACACAGGGCCGATGATGGAGCACCAAATTTTCCTGTTATACTGTTAATGTTTAACCTTTCTTTTTTTCTTTTTTCCTTTCTTTTGCTCATTCATTTTCCCTCCCCCGTCTCGCCCAAATTCTCCTGTTGCAGTCATTCTACAGTTTCTATTTATTCTGTTTTCCACTCATTCACTGTGTTATGCTTCCTGTCTCTCAACTCTTAACCATTTTCATTCATCATCATCTTTCAGAGGCAGTTTCTCTTCTGTTTTTTTTTTTTTTAGTTTCCTCCACATGTCACATGTCCATCCACACACTTCAGTCTGCGTTTGCATGCACACACACACACTCAATTTGTTTACCTTTATTTATACAAAGTAGGCTTGCTGAGCATTCAGCGTAGCCCTGTTTACAGTTAACTGGAAATTAAATATGATATTGCAGTATAACAGGAAGAGACACAAGCTGAAAACAACAATAAACAAACAGAATAAGCAGTTACAGGAATTATTTAGAATGGTCTTGATATTACAGAGTAATAAAATCTTTAGGCGGCTTTGCAAATAATTCCAGTAAAATTAATCTTTACTGAATCACTTCTTGTAAATAGTCCCTGAAGCATCAGTTAATCATTGCAGCAAGTTAAATATGAACCACACTACTTGAGACTTAAAGCTAAGATATCAGATGGCGATTTTCTGATAAGGTCTTCTTAAAAAAAAAATACCAGTAATTATTACATCCAAGAACGGCAAACCAACCATATCATTTAAAATGGTGAGTATTATAATTATCTCCAGTAGTAAAGCTTGGTTATCTAAATCTAAGGGTTTAAGTGTGGAGTCAGACGGTACTGCTTCAACAGCCCTCCTCTTACAACTCAGACTGAAGTCAAGATAGATTTGAGCATATAGTTATATTCAT